TATCTAACTTCAATCTTATTAAAAAATCAAATTATAATTTTTTTTGTTTACAAATCACAAAATGAGATAACTTCAATCAAAAGAGCCATTAAAATAGTACACAAAAGAAGAAATTGCTAAACCAAATACAAATTATAATTTTTTTTTTGGCTAGACCAAATACATCAAAAAATAAGATAACTTCAATCATACAAATCACAAATATTTTTATGCTATCTAATTACAATCATATTTTTTTCATAATAAAAAAATAATTGTAAAGAAGAACCATTAAAATAGTAAATAAAAAGATTAAATAACATTAAAAAAAACCATTGAATAAAATACAATCACATCACATTTTTCTCATAATAAATGCTGAGTTTTTTTTTTTTAAATAAAAAATTTTAAAAATTCAGATTGGGATATTGAAGCTTTCACAGGCCTTGGGGTTTAAAAACCCATTTTTGCTTAATATATACTACTAACATATCACCTGTGTCATGCACGGATTGTGTTTACAATTATCTATATATGTGAATTGCGATTTTTAGACGTCTTTTTTTTTTTTTTAAATGTCTTCTTTTTTTTTCTTTTTTTATATTAAATTAAAGTTTAATATTTTGATAATAATCATATGTGTTAAGCTTTTCAATGAATTAAATGTCTTTTTATTATTATTATATTATATTAAAGTTTAATATTTTGATAATAATTATATGTGTTGGACTTTTCAAGAAATTTTTTTATGCTTATTTTTAATGCATTAAAGTGTTATTATGAGGGATAATAATCATATATATTAGGACTTTTCAAGAAATTCATATGTGTTGGATTTCAATTTTTTTTTTTTATACTTGTTCTTAATGCATTAAAGTGTTATTATGATAGTAAGACTTGGGGGTTAGGAGAAGTTAATAAATGCTAAGGTTTTTTTTTTTAAATAAAAAAATCAGGAAATTTAGATTGGGAGATTGAAACTCCCACAAGACTTGGGGTTAAAAACCCCCTTTTACTTAATATATAACTAGCCTATTACCCGTGCTATGCACGGAATAATTATAGATATTTATTTTTGTTTTAGATTTTTTTAATATATAAATTACGTGTTTTAAGATTTTTATAAAAATAATTTAACAATTTTATCACTAATCATAGTGTATGAGAGAAGTTAAAAAAGGTACTACAATAACTATGCATGAGTTGTATCTATAATTATTTATATGAGGGGATTTTAAATGCTAATTAGGAGATTTTGACCAAATCCATAAATGCAGGCATGTGGAAAGACATGTGGATTGAAAAAAGTTAATAAATGCTGATCAGAGATTTTGACCAAGTCAATAAATGCTGAGTTTTTTTTTTAAATGCCTTTTTTTTTTCTTTTTTATATTATATTAAAGTTTAATATTTTGATAATAATCATATGTGTTAGACTTTTCAAGAAACTAAATATCTTTTTTTTATTATATTATGTTAAAGTTTAATATTTTGATAATAATCATATGTGTTGGACTTTTCAAAAAAAAAAATTTATGCTTGTTCTTAATGTATTAAAGTGTTATTATGAGGGATAATAATCATATGTGTTGGGACGTTTCAAGGAATTCATATGTGTTGGATTTCAAAGAATTTTTTTTTATTTTTGTTCTTAATGCATTAAAGTGTTATTATGAGGGTAAGACTTGGGGGTTGGGAGAAGTTAATAAATGCTAAATTTTTTTTAAAAAAAATCAAAAAATCAAGAAATTTAGATTGAGAGATTGGAGCCCCCACAAGGTTTGGGGTTAAAAACTCCCTTTTGCTTAATATATAGTATAGATATATAGATAGATAGATAGATATATTTTTTTATTTTTATTTTTATTTTTGTGTGGTTTCTATTCGGGTATTTTTTTTTCAATTTATTTAAGATGGAGTTGTGAGTATCTTTTTTTTTAATTTAATTTATCTGTGGTTTCCATTTGTTTTTAATTATTATTATTTAGGTAAGTTATGATGTGAGTTAGATATGTGATAGGCATGTGAGTTTTATTGATTTAAAGTTTATTCAGATAAGATTTAAAGTTTATTTAGATAAACTTTAAAGATTTTTTTTTTAGTTTTATTGTTTTTTTTTTGTTTTGTTATAATAAAATTTAAATATAAGTAGATATCTACAACTTTAATAAAAAATATTTTCTATTTTTTGGGGAAGAGAAAATGAATGCAAGTTTTAATATATATATTTTTTAAAAATTTGTGAGAGAGATTGCGAACTGATATACGCGTAGCTTGCTCGAGCACAAGAGTTGTCGCTCGAGTGACCAGATACAAATAAGTTACCTCGCTCGAGCGCAGAATACATACTCTCAGAAATTTTACAGATAGAGGACCGTCGCTCGAGCGCAAGAGTCCTCGCTCGAGCGAAGAACACTATCCTCCCAGTATATTTGCAGGCCTGCAAAAGTATTGGGATCTCGCAAATCTCGCTCGAGCGCAAGAAGCCTCGCTCTAGCGAAGAGGCCAAAATTTGAACAATAACAATTTTAGCCAACTAGCAACCAACTTGTTCCAAACACAACCAAGACACTCTAAAACTCAATTTCAATGAGGAATAAGGAAAAAAGAGACAAGAACAACAATATAGAAATCATGAAACTCGAGCCCAGAATGCAACAATAGGTTGGGTCAAAACCAGAATTGCTATAATTAATATTATTAATTTGTGATTCTTTCACTTATTGACTATTTGTGTTTAATTTTTTTGAGTGTAGATGTTAGATTGAAAGGGAAGAGAGCATCAAAATTTATTTGAATATGGGTTTATGTTTTAAATTTAATCATTAATTATTTTTGGTTGTTGATTGTCATGCTGAAATAACTTATGATTAAATTAATTTTAGGAACTCATTTCTTTTGAGACCTAAATCACAAATTTCTTCCTTTAAATTAAATGTCTTTTTTTTATTATATTATATTAAAGTTTAATATTTTGATAATAATCATATGCGTTAGACTTTTCAAGAAATTACATGTCTTTTTTTTATTATATTATATTAAAGTTTAATATTTTGATAATAATCATATGTGTTGGACTTTTCAAGAAATTTTATTTATGCTTGTTCTTAATACATTAAAGTGTTATTATGAGGGATAATAATCATATGTGTTGAGACTTTTCAAGAAAATCATATGTGTTGGATTTCAAAGATTTTTTTTTATGCTTGTTCTTAATGCATTAAAGTGTTATTATGAGAGTAAGACTTGGAGTTAGGAGAAGTTAATAAATGCTAAGATTTTTTTTTTAAATCAAAAAATCAGGAAATTTAGATTGGGAGATTGGAGCCCCCACAAGGCTTAGGATTAAAAACCCCCTTTTACTTAATATATAGTATAGATATAGATAGATTATGAGGGTAAGACTCGGGAGTTGGGATAAGTTAATAAATTCTAAGATTTTTTTTTTAAATCAAAAAATCGGAAAATTTAGATTGGGAGATTGGAACTCCCACAAGGCTTGGGGTTAAAAACATCTTTTTGCTTAATATATAGTATAGATGATAAAATACTTAGCAAAAGGGTCAATTTAATTAGGGTTTGAAACAAGTTATTTTAGTAATTTTTGATTTTTTACAAAAATTTGTATAAAAAAATAGAAAGAATGATATGATAACTTATAATAATTTTTTTACTTTTAACTAAAATTAAAAATTATCAAACAAAATAGTTTCGATTTTAATTGAGATCCCAATAAAATTTCACCCCCACTACCTCTACACACACGTGAGAGTTGGTCATTGAATCAAAAAAATAAGGGCAAATTATAAACACCCCCTCGAGGTTTGGTAAAAATACAGATTTCCCCCTGAGGTTTGAGAAATTACATCCCGCCCCCTGAGGTTTATATTTCCATAACAAATTACCCCCTGAGGTTTTTATTTTCATACAGATTCCCCTCTAATTTGTTATGCAAATTTGACCTCCAGGGGACAATTTGTAATTTCTCAAATCTCAGGGGAATTTATATTTTCACCATACCTCGAGGGAGGTGTTTGTAATTTACCCCAAAAATAAAAAATAAAAAATTTGACCAATCAGTGCCCACTGAGGCGCTGGAGTCACCCAGACCGGACCATTTTCTATTTAAGGAGTGAGTGCTCTACTTTCTAATGCAGTTTTTTTACTTGTATACCAAGTGAAAACTTTCTCCGGAAAGTGGAAAAGAATTCGAGGCACTTTCTCATGAACATTATATTCATAATAAAAAAAGGGCAAATTATATATACCTCCTTCGAGGTTTAGCTAAATTATAGATATTCTTCTGAGGTTTCGAAAATTACAGATAGCCCTTTGAGGTTTATATTTTCATAACAAATTGCCCCATGAGGTTTATATTTTCATAACAATTTACCCCCTAATTTATTATGCAAATAGTACCTTCAGGGAGTATCTGTAATTTCTCAAACCTCAGGAAGTATCTGTAATTTTACTAAACCTCGAGGGGTATATATAATTGGCCCTAAAAAAAAAAAAAAAAATTGTTGTTGAAATCGAAACTTTTCGCCCCATTCAACGAAAAATAGACAGGAAATGTAGGGTGGTCATGGGCTGATTGTCCATTCAACTCGCCCAATTCAATCTCATATTTTAAAGGTTTTAACATAAACTTAGTTACACAAAATACAATTATTTTGACTTGTTTTCATTTAAATATATTTTTTCTTATTTTTTATGCTGGAAAAAAAAATAAAAAATAAAAAACTTTCCACGTTCTTCCCATCTTATCCTCCACCCCTTCATGAGTGCATTGCATGCGGAAGGAAACAGAGTCAGTCTTCCAGCCTCTCTGTGCATGTATATACAGAATGGTTTTTTTTTTTTAAATGAGTTAAAATCAACTTTTAACTCATTTTGAATTATATCATCTCTTATATTTTGTATATATTTTTCAAAAAAAGATCTTAAAAAATTTAAAAAGTTACCTAAAACACCCCATTATATATACACATTATTCTCTCTCTTCACTCTCTCTCTAACCTCCATTTCCGGAAATCGACATGCTGTTGCTGTTGGCATTGTTGTGTTTTATAATCTCGGCATATTTTAATCGCTATTTGCCCACTAATTTATGCATAAATCCCCAGCAAATGGGGGGCTGCAAAGAACCCTTTGAATGCAGTATACTCTCTCTCTCTCTCTCTCTCTCTCTCTCTACCCTAACTAACCCTTCAAAACCCTAGACACTTGTCTCTCAACTCATTTTTATTTCGGTTTCGTTGTTGCTTCTACAACCCTTATTCTTGACTTCTCTGGTATGCCCCTTTTGTCTAAATACATATATGTCTTCATTCTTTATCTGTTGAATCTTGATCAAGCCATGACATAAAAAAGTTGTATTTTGGGGGGGCCTCAGGTTTCAATTTCTTTCTTCTGGGTTCTTGTTTTCTGTCTAAGGTTTGTTTGCAAATCCACTCATCTTTTATATTGATGGTCTAAAGACATTAAAAAAATATGGTATTTTGGCGTCGGTTGGTTATCTGGGTTTCCTAATTTTTTTTAATCAACCTATTTCATATAAATTATCTCCTGGTCTTTGATTCTTATCTTCCTATCATTGCAAGTATATTCACTCTCATCTCTTGAATGTCGACTAGCTCAGGACATAAAGAGCTGTTATTTACCAGCAATCTGTCATCTTTTGAAGGTTTATATATGTATGTCAAACCTGTGCAAGGAAAACAAAAACAAAAACAAAACAAAAGAGGAGAAGAAGAGAAGTTTTTTTTGGGGTCAATTTCTCATCTGACTAAGCAATTTTTCTTTCTATGATTTCTCAATTAACCTTTTTTCATTTTGGTGGTGTGTTTTGCTATACTTTCTTATTCAAGGTTTCTAATTTTCTTGCATATTTGGTAATTATTGTATGCTGTTTATTGGATTGTAAGTGGTGCTTTTTGTGGGTTATTTTGTGAGTATGCAGAGGATTTGAAGAATTTGAAGGTGTTTGATCAATGTTCACGGGAAAAGAGAGAGAAAAAGAGGAACGAAGCAAGGGTTTCAATGAATGTTGCTATTCTACGAGTAACAATGGTGGGCTTAATAGGAACTATAGTAATGGAAATTGGGTCAGTCCCGGTAGTCCTCAACCAGAAAAGATGAGAATCTGCGAGACGAGTAGCGGATTAAGCCAGAAGTGGCTCGGACTTTCCACCAGTGATGATGTTTCATCTGGTGTAGAACCTCAGGATGCAGATTACTGTTACATTCCCTCCCTTGATTATGAACTAGAGGGTCTGATATTGGCTAGGGTCCCCAGATCAGAGTATTGGAAGCTATGCTTTGTGAACAAGAGGTACTTAACTCTGATGAAGAGTGGAGATCTATTTCATATCAGGCGAAAGAATGGAATCAAGGAATCGTCTGTTTTCATGTCCGGTATTGGGGAAAGTAGCTGGTGGGCATTTGATCGCGAATTCAAGTCTCAGCAAAAGCTCCCAGATTTGCAAACTGACATCTGTTTTGCATCCGGTGATAAAGAATCATTTTGTGCAGGTACCCATCTGCTTGTTTCAGGCAATGAGTACGAAGGACCTGTCATTTGGAGATACGAATTGGCAATGAACAAATGGTTCAAGGGTCCTTCTATGATCACCCCAAGGTGTTTGTTCGCATCTGCCACGTGTGGTACATTCGCTTTTGTAGCTGGTGGGGTTGGAAAAGATTCCAATAGTCTAGATTGTGTGGTCTTTGATACTGCTGAGAAATATGATCCAGAGAGAAAAATTTGGGAATCCCTTCCCAGGATGAAAATGAAGCGAAAGCTTTGCTCGGGGTGTTACATGGACAATAAGTTCTATGTCATCGGAGGCCAAAATGAAGACGGTGAACTCACGTGTGGGGAATTTCTTGATGAGGGTACAAATAGATGGGAATTGATACCGGACATGTTAAAGGATGATCAGGTTTTGAGTTGTCACTCTCCGCCTCTTGTTGCTGTGGTCAATAACGAGCTTTATGCGCTCGAAGCTTCTTCCAACAAACTCAAAGTGTATGTGAAGAGCAGCAATACCTGGAGGCAGTTGGGGTTGGCACCGGTGAGGGCGGATTCAAGTAGAGGTTGGGGTGTTGCATTCAAGTCTTTGGGTGATGAGTTGCTTGTAATTGGTGCCTCCTCTGGCAATTGTGTGGCTGTTTACACTTGCTGCCCTGATCCTGATGCCTATGAATTGCGATGGAGGCTGGTTAACAGTGACAGGAATAGGCTTAGTCAGTTCATTCTTAATTGTTCTGTCATGGTAGCTTGAGGGCACAACTCTTGATCCTCTTATGTACCAAAGAAAAAAAAAATTTGAAGTGTCTGAATAAAAACCCAAATTCATGAAGTAGAGAGTCAGTGTAACCAAAATTGATGAACTAGAAAAGCTTTATGAATTGTTTGTTGTATAACTTGTATTGTGGTTTGTAATTATTTTGCTCAATAGCTGTTACATATCATCGGCAGCATATTGTAGTGGATACAATGTGTTTGATATATATGCATAATGTTTGTTGTGTGAATTCATGTAAAAGATGGTTTTTTCATCTCACTTTGGGGTTTTCTTTGATGTTTTCTGCTCTACTCGTGTGTTTACTTGAATCTTAATTCTGTTATCAAATGTTGTCTACAGATCCGAATGCCACTACTATTTTTGTGTTTTAAACAATTAATAGGAGAGAAATGGAATGTTGAATTACAATAACAACTAGGGGAAAAGGAAAAGTCGTATCACTAATATTTAGGCATTACTTCTTCCACTGATTCAACTCTTAAGTCAATTCTTAGTGGTTATCACGGATGTGTTAAATAAGCGTATTTTTTAATTTTTTGACTTTAAAAAGTGAACAAAAATAATATATATATTTAGGATTAGTTTGAAAAGTGGGTTGATTTTTTAATTTTTTTTTTCTTATTTTACACTGGGATTAAAAAACCTCGTTTGGAAAGGACTTTTGATTTTTTTGATTTTTTTGTGAGAAAAAAAAAATGTAATGATTATGGGTTAGATGTGATGTTTTATTTTTTGTGGCTAAAAATCTTATTTTGTTTTTTGTGGTTATTTTAGCCAAAAAAAGCCCAAGGTTTGGCTTCCCAAATGAAGCCTTAGGATAACTTTTGACTTTTTACGACAAGATGTGTAATAAAATATTATAGTAAAATCAAAATAACCTTTTGTGGACTTGCCTTTTCTCCGCACTCCCGCCTTTCGGAAAGGTTTGAAAAGAAAGGCCTCACAGTTCGGACTCCTTCGGTTCTGAATCTAGTCTCACAAGTGCAATGTAAAACTGATAAATACCAAATGACATGTTTGATTGGATAAATTAGAGTATGAGATTGAGATTATTAATCCGTGGGCCCAATTATCCGATGTTTGTTTTAATATTTTGGTTTAGGATTATTAATCCAATGGATAATTAATCCAACAAATTTGTAGGATTATTAGTAATGGGGTAGGGGTGAGATTATTAATCCCATGGATATTAATCCAATAGGATAATGAATACCACACTAATTTAATAGGATTATTAATACTTCACTATTAATCTTGTGAATCAAACATGACCAAAGAGTCCAAAATCGACAAATCTTTTTGAAAAATCAATTTTAAATCAAATAATGTCAAAATTAGACTGCTTTGCCAAATTACAGAGTCCCCACCTAAATATTTTATTTTGAAAAAATTTAGGAAATCCTGACTCGTGCCGAAGGTCACGTGTCCGTCATCACCAAAATTACCTCGGTTCGAGAACTTAGGTATGATAAAGGAAGGTCCTGAAATGAGTATCCCGGCTCGCCCGATCAAAGATCGGCCTTTACTAATCATGATATGAAATTTTATGAACATTATGCGTTCTTATTCTGGTTATTAAACTAGCTTTGTTATGTGACGCGCACAAGCAAGTATAGACTAGTTTGCTCAATTTTGAACAATTCAACTCATGATTGTTTGCGAAAATAGTTTGAATTTGCCACCTCAAGTGGGCTTAAAGATGTAGATTTGCCACCAAACATAGTGGGCTTAAAATATGATTTGCCACTCAACAAAGTAGGCTTAAAACACGCATTTGTTGAATTGTTTTAATTCAAACAACAAATCTTCATCCACAGGCATTCATGCAGTTAATCATCTAAGTACATAGCCTCATGGCAAGCATGCTAAACTTGACAACAGAGAAATCACACTCATGCAAGTATGCTAAAGCATAAAGACTCACCGAGTACTGTAAGCCAAAACAAAAACTAGTTAGAAAGATGCATGATCCTAACTATACAAAATGCCTAATGTAACGCATGCAAAAAATGCAATTAATAGGCTCGGCTACTAATATGACATATGAACTAATTTGATAACATGCGGTTAAACACATATTCAAAGAAGTATTTGAAATTATAATGCAGTTTGAATGATGCCCCGAGCCTCGGTGCATTCAAGACAAGATGAATGGATACAAGCATGCGATATGCTAATCAAAACATGACCCTAATCTAACCATCGAAAGTGATTAAATAAAATTGAGAAAGACGTGAGGTTGGAAGACATACACACACGCACGCACACTTATTACAACATTACACCCTCGCGAAGGAGAGTCTGAATGAATAAGCTAACTAACTAGCTATGCTAATTAAGCTAACTAATTATTACAAATCAAAACTAATTAACTATTCTAGTTAACTAATTATTACAAACCGAAATTGAATAACTAGTTAAATTAACTAATTATTCAATACTTAATTAGCTACAACTAATTAATTACAACACATGTTTGATCTAATACTAATTAAACTAACTAGCTAATCCTGGGAAGCGAGGAATGCATGCATGCTTTTCACCTGAAAAAGCCACTGCTTTGCTGCTGTAAGCCTCTGTCTGCACATTTGAGCACTAAAAATTCTGCCAACTTCCAGAACACTTCTGCTCTACCTCAGGAACACACTGGAAAAAATCATTGATGGCTGACAAGAGGGACAAGGGGTCGGTCGGCCACTGTTGGTTCACACTTCGTTGCCGCAATAGAGAGCAAAACAGAGCAAAACAATGTATTCTCACAGGTTGTTTGTATTATTTACCCTCCTTATCATCACACAAACTCAAAGGAGAGAAACTCTTGGCCCTCAAACCATCAATCAAGCAATTTCCATGCATGATGGCTAAGGGACCAAGTTTCTACAAGTTCAATAAATGCACAAACAAGACCAAAATGACCACCAACCTATCATGCATGATCAAGGGTAATGGTGACCTAGGAAAATGACATATTTCATCACTTTGAGTATGAAATGTCCCATTTTCCTTGTGTTCAAATTAACGTCTGATTTGAACACATGCAATGCAACACAAAGAATGCTTATCTTGCACACTTTTACTTGCCAATTTTGTTTACTCATTTTAATTACCAAACTATTCATTAGTCAATCAGTCCATTGGTGAGTGTCTTCTAAAGTGAAAGACGTGTCAACCAAGGGGTAGTTCAAGGCATGAGGGAAGCTTCATGCCGTTGATAATGAACTCGCAAAGGAAGATTAAACCATTAAGCATGAGTCTTGACCTCAAGCTTAAACAACCCTAAGGTTGAAACAACCCTCAAAGCAAATGAAAAAGTGAAGAAATGAGGGAGGTTGCAGAGATTGTATGTGCTGAAATTGAGTGATAAAAGCACTAAAAACATGCAACTAACTCACACCAATGCTAGTTAAAGCTTTAAAATACTAAACTAGTGAAGGAATTAACATTACAACTATGCCATGTAAGGCTCAAATGAAACAAATGACCAAAAACAGAGGCAAAACAACCCTAATTATGGTCAAAAACATGCTAGAATTATGCTAACAAAAGCTAAAAAAATAAGCTAAGACAAAGAGCATGTTAAGCTAGTAAACAAAACAGAAGGAGGGGAGGTTACCCCCTCTATTTTTAGACTCAAAAACATGATTTTAGCCACTGAAATAACTCTAAAATTCAGTGTTTAAAAGCTCTGAAAAAGATGATACAATGATGGGAAACATAAGGGCAAAGGCCTCCACAACAAGGTACAAACAAGGGCTATCAACCCCTGAACCTTTAATAGCCTTAGGACCCAAGCTTCAGCCCAAAAATAGTGAGTTTTTATAGCCCAAAATCAGTTAGAAAACATGGTGGAATGAAGACAAAGGTAGCTAAAACAATAAGCTAATACATGGGGTTACACTACAACTATGCAAAACAAGACTCAAACAAACTAACTAGCCCAAAACAGAGCTAAAACAGGTTATTTCAGAAGCTAAGATATGCTGGACTTAAGCTAAGTTAAGCTAGAAAAGCATGCTAACATGTGAAGCTAACTAAGCATGTAAACAAGACACAATTAGGGGTGACTAACCCCTCCAAATTTGGACCTCAAAATAAGTTTTTTGCCACTGAAAAATCTCCAAAATTTAGTGGTTAGAAGGCCCAAAAAAGTTGGTTTGAAAGATGATAAACAAAGGCTCAAAAGCTATACAAGCAAAGAGACAAGAAGGGTGAACAACCCCTTAACTGAAAATGGCCTCAAACCACCATTTTTAGGTCATAAAAATAGAGCTTTTTATAGTTCAAAATTAGGCCAAAAATAGTTCAAAAACAATAGAAAAAGATGGTGTAACAAGTAAGTAAAACAAGCTATCTAAGCAAGAGTTATACCTCTTGAAGGCAAGGCACAATTTAGGCAACAAATCAAGCCAAGACCACCTTGTAGAGCTCAAAAAGGGTCCCAAGTAACCTCAGCCCAAAGATAAGCAAATTTGATTAAGGGTTAATAGGCAAACTTGAAGTGTATCAACACTTGTATGCACAAAAGTTCAAAAGAGAGAGAAAATTCTAGAGAGAGAGAATTCTAGAGAGAGAGAGAGAGACTCCCCAAATTTTTCTAACCTTGAAAATAATAGAGAAGGTCCTCTATATATAGAAATATATGAGCCTTGGTCGAAAATATCTCAAAATGGACAGCTGGAACATTGTGAAAACAGTTGAAGGAAAAATATCTTCACAAAAACTGCCTTTTGACACCAGTGGCCGACAAAAGGCACCCTTGGATGACACATGGCTGGCAAAAACCATTCATGGCCGACACATGGCTGTCAAAGCCCATCCATGGCTAACAAACTCCACAAGTGGCCGGTCAGAAAAATCGGCTATTCAGGTCCAACTTCAAAAAGGCATATCTCCTTCCTCTGGACTCCTTTGTAGGTCATTCTTAAGTCTAAATTGAAGCCCCGAAAGTCTTATTTCCAATGGTGGCAGCCTCACATCAAAATTATACGTGTGTAAAAAGATATGCCTATTTTAGTGAAGGTTTCTCAGTTTTGGTCCTAACTGGATGGATGCTTACCTTTTCCTCAACTAGTTTTCTTCCCTTCTCCCTTATTTTCTTCAACTCCAAACCTCTAAATAAGGTGTTTTAAAAGATTTTTCAAAGATTTCACCTCTCTTTCATTTATTTCCACTTTGTCTTTGCTTAGTTTATCGAAGAGCGCAACA